CTCCCGAGGGCTTGTCACAAGCCGGGCAGGAAACGCTGCTCAGCAAGCAAAGAAACGGGGCGACTGGGGCACCGCTCTGAGCTGCTGCCGGTCGACCCCGGGAGCTCCGGGGATGAATCCCTGCAGCCAGAATGCAATCCGGGAGCTGCGCTGGTTTTCAGAAACGTTCTGGTGAGCCTGTGCAGATATGGTCTGAATAAAACAGAAAGAAACCAAGCTCTGCCAGCAGAGTCCAACGATTCAATAGTGTAGCAATGGATAACAAAAAAAAGGTTTCCATGGTAGCATAAAAAAAAAAAAATTTGCACCAGGAAGGCTGGAGGTTTGCCGGTGTTTTGTTGATTTTTTTGAGACCACCTATGCAAGCAAGAGTTGGACTGACTGAGCGGACGACAAGAATGACAGAAGCCCTATGTTCTACAGCCCAACATAGCCAAATGCTCCTGAAATACTGTGCTTCTTGCAAGCAAAGCCTAACTGGGCTTAGTTCTAACAGGCCATCACTGCATTGTGGTTCCATGTTAACCAGGCAGTTAGAGAACACTAGTAGTGACCACCACCATGCTGACACTTCATCTTACATTAGAGAAGCAAGACTGCACATTCAGACCCAGTTTTCCACCAAGACCAAGAGAAGGTAAGCTCCAGCAGGGACGAATGGCAGGTGATCAGAATCCTTTTGTCTCTTAGAGAGGACTGTGGATTTGACAGCTGGCAGAGGAGAGGCCTCTGGGTATCTCCTGCCTCAGACAGTCTCTGATTTTCCCTCTCAGCTGCAGGCCAAGAAAATGGTGGGTGACGCTGCACAATGAGTGGCAGGATATGTTCAACTGCCCACCATCCCTGAGCCTGTGCCACCATGTCACTGGCCACAATGAACTTGTCTGGAGAGACAGCAACTATATGGAGGGCAGGAGCTCTTCATCAGTGCCCACTAGCCATTTCTGCATGCTGGCAACCGCCGTTTCATTCTATCTGCAGAGTGAACACCCATGTTTTCACACCAAGTCCTGTATTGCAGAGTACATGAACCCTTAGAACCACTGGGTGATAACTCATCACCTGTTCCTGTAGCACTATGGTCCTGGAGCTGTCACAGGATCATTCCACTGAAGGTTAGCCTCCTTATCTGCTTATTACTGTGTATTTCTGCTGCCTTGCCGACCAGCAAACTTGCCATCCAGGGGTGTCAGATACACACTTTCTAGGGGTGGCATTACAGGACTGATAACCAGGTAGCGCTAGTCAATGCGAACAAAGACCTTTTCCTGAGCAATTATTATACGCCTCTGTTACCTCAACAGATACGTAGTGCTCCATGGCTAGGCTTACAAAACCACAAAGGACCATCTCCTTTATTCAGAACAACCTGCCTCTCCATTACTGGCTCAAAACAGCCTCTTTCCTCCAGCATTCCTTCATGTCAGAAAAGGAAAAGCCTATGCTGCTGACATGATTTGTAACTTGTGGTGTGTGCAACTAATCTTGGATGTAGGATCCTGTAGGATGGAGGTAAATGCTGAACTTGTTAAGGCAATGCAGGTCAGGAATTATTCTACTAAGAACATCAGAGACAGATTTAAGGATCAGTTCCTGTCCACAAACTCTATTGCTCTAACATGGCTCGCTAGCACCATGAAGCCATCACATGGGGAATATTTTGCTTTCTAGTGAAACAGAACATTTCTGTTTGGACACTTCCTAAAAAGAAGAAAGGGCCCTGTCAGCATAATGAAGCGCTTTATTAAAAGTACACTCAGACATGCAAATGGTCTTGGATGCCTCTGCCTGCTAAGAAAAATATTTTTAAAGCCTTGTCAAAGCTTTAACAAAACAGTCCTTGGGAGCCCCTATTAACAAAGCAATGAAAGATAAAGCAGTAAACCTTAATGAGTAAAAGCCCTAGACTTACCTCAGGGTAAGACCATTCTGGTGAATAATCTGTCACCATGAACAAGCGCCCACTCTGCTGTAGCAACCCCAAAGTGCCTTGTGCCGCAGCTGCCGAGACCACCTCAGCCACATGCATGTACGCCATCGTGCTGGCTCCGTTCTCTGTGCTGCTGAGCTGCATGTTGGCTTGCTGAGGACTGCAGCAAGGAATGCACATTTCAGCTTGGTTGTAGGTTGCTCTGTTACTGTCTTCAGGTTGAGACAGTCCAGCACTGTCACCTGACACCAGCTGGTGCCCATAGAGAGCATTGCTCCCACCTTCTACTGATATGAAATCATTAATTAGATCAGAAAACTGGTTGCTGAAGGAGATGTCAAAGTGGTCCAAGTTAAGCTCCATGTTGGAGGAGTTATTTAAGCTGGGATGGGCCACAGGATAGAGTCCTTGTACCATGTTTCCTTGGAGAATAGGGAGATTATTCCCATTCCTGATACCTCCATTGGCCTCTGGCTGCAAGTAGTGTTCTGTGCTGCAGGCTTGAAGATCCCCTGATTTAAGCAGATTTTCATTCCCTTCTGCCTGCTGAGAGGTCTCCATGGGAACTTCAGCTTCTGCAGTCATAGCCTGGAAGTTTGCTTGGAACTGCATGAGCTGGAGAGAAGAGGTGGACTCTATTCTGGTTTCCACTGTGCCGTTACAGTTGGAAGTGGTTTGGGACGAGGACTCTGTTTTCACACTGGGGATTCCTAACGTGTTCACAAATGAGCCACTTGTGTCGTTCAAATTGTTGTGAGTGTTTTGCTCAAGGGGAAGAGGTTTGCTGGCATCCTGCAGAAAGAAGCTGGGGGAAGGGGTCTGATGGACATGAGGGCTCTGGACTGTCTGATTGAAGCTGGAAGAATAGTCCTTGTTGGAGTCAATGGCACTGAAGTCCATCTGCTCCAGGGTGGTACTTGGGCTCAGACCTCCTCCAGATGGAAGCAAACCTGAACCAGTAGTGAGGGTGAGCGTGTTAGATGCAGAACTGGAGGAAAATGCTTCTTTGGACATCTGTTGTTCAAAAGATGTGTCCTCAGTTTTAATTTCTTTTGTGAGGGTTGTATTGAAGTTGAAGCTACGTTCTGTTGTGGGTGACTGCCTTATGTTGGTACTGATGTTGTCACTTTTCATACCTCCTCCACCATAAGTCTGCCCTTGCTTGGGATTGTTAAGAAAACAGTCTGGGTCAAAATTCATGGTGGTTTCTGGAATTTTTCTATTTCCATCTAAAGTTGTGGAGAGCACAAGTTCCTCGGAGACAGTGCTGGGTAGCATCGACAAACTCTCTGAACTGCCGGTTGTTGGAAAAGCAAATTTGTGTCCATCTGAACTCACAGCAAGTACCAGTCCTTGTGCAGCTGCATCTGAGGACAGAAGATGCTGATTTGGGCCAGAGGTGGGTGACATGGTATACACAGCTTCACTGGTGACTTCTGACATGAATACAGTGGCACTTTGTGACAAGCTTCCCATAACTGATGCTACAGCCATACTGGACACACCAGTGACAGCTGGGCTATCTGCCATATCCGGGTCACTATTTAAGCCACTGCTGATGGACACAGGAGAATTCTGGGTCGTGTCAGGGACCTCAACCTGGTTGGTGGAAGAAACCTCAGTGCTGTTTTGATGGAGCAACACTGGTTTTGCCACTTTGCCATTCCTCTTCTCTCGGCTGGAGGCCTTGCCATGACTGTGCTCGTTCTTGCCTTCAGAGACATCGTTATTTTGTACCTCTGAATGAGTGCTGTACCCACCTGTCCTTGGTTCAACCTTTGGTGATATGATGCGATGCTTGGCACTGTTACACTTGTGATGCACACTGCTTCCTGCCCCTGTGCCAGAAAACAACATTTGACATTCACTAAAAACAAAACTTAAGAGGATGCCAGTTGCGTATCTGATGGCTATAGCAAAAGAGAGCTGTGCTTACAGACGCGCGAGAGCAAACAAGCGCACGTACAACAGAGTAAGAGACACCTTGGAAATGAAAGTAATTTCTCACCAGTGCCAGATTTACAGCTCTCTTTCTGTCCAGTGTATAGATCCACTATGTGCAATGGCTGCAACCTCAAAACAAGCATGTCGGCACTCTTCCCCTCACCCCACATAGCACCTACCGTCTTCCTCCCTGCCCCACCAGAACATGTTAGGAGGAACAGCATCTATGACAAGTTTCAGAACTTTAATTTATATGTGCCTGATCTCAGTGCACAGCCTGTGAAGTGAGGGCTGCTGCTGTCAGCTGTGGCAGAGTGCCTGTCTTGCAGGCCCTGCTTCATCTGCACCATGGGCAAGACCTCAGCCCCTGTGACACAGATGCTCAGCTCTTCATGCTGGCTGATGTCAGGTAGTTTGACAGCTGCTCTCACGGGTCAGATGCTGACTGGTAATCTGGAGGTGACATGCCATATCATGCTCCTGTCCCTGGCATTGCCCTGCTGCCTAGACTGCAACTCTCATCATCATTGTGTCTATTACAGCTGCCAATCAAATTATTAAAGAAGTAGTGCATTAGCTGGCATAAAGAAAGCTTTTGCTCCCATAAGGATGGTGATATGTTTCTCTTGTTCTAAGCTGTTCATAGGCTGACAGATACATATTTAGTACTTTGAAAGGCCACAAGCAGAGCCCATGATTTGTATTAGAGCAGCTGAAGAACACTCGGGCAAAGGTCACCAGAAGACAACCCTCCACAGAGTTCAGCCAGCTGGCACCTTTACTGGCTCAACAGAAGATCAGTATCACCTGAGTTCCTGGGAGCTTGGAAATCAGGTAGGATGAAGTGAACAATTCTGTCTGCAAAGGCATCTTTGCCACAGACTCTGGTGCAGGAACTGCTTTTGTTGTTTAAAAAAAGAACAGCCTGTGAATTTTTGATGTTTTGTTCCTTAATTGATTCATTTACCCTAGAATGAGGTAACAACATTAATTATGGTACTGTATAATGACTAAAGGGGAGAAGAAACCTCCTCCTTATAGATAATGGCCACAATTATAAATGCCATCTTCTGGGTAACACATAAACCATCCGTGTAGCTGCTGTAATTTGCTAAATCTTTTGTGCCTTGCCCTTGAAGGGAAACTTCTCTATTATGTGCTCAAGATTTGAATCAGGTCACTTAAAGTAGTTCAGGACAGTGCTTTTGAGACTAAATGCAGTATTAAATCTCTCTATTCTCCTAGGTATAGAGATGAACAGCAACAAGGGAGAGGCTTTCACGCTGCCGCCTTTGTGGATGGCTGTAAGGAATTGGGAATGTACGTGTCAAGCTGCAAGCCGTTACAAAACAAAGCAATACTCTTATGTTAAAAAGCATGCAGCAGATTTAGCACAAGACAAAACATCAAAGGGAAGAATAAAAGGATTCATGTTCAGATCTGCAAGCCTAGATCAAATGCTGAGCCTTAAGGGTTGAATTTTAATCCAAACTCAGGTATTTCAGAGGTCATCATTCTTACTTAAGTTTTGATTGTATAACGCAACTGCCCAAAAAAAGAAGAAAAAAATAAACCCTTTGAAGTGCTGACAGCTTCCCTTTATGAATTTTGCTAAAGACTAATTAATGTGTCATATATTTCACTTGACCAAAGTACTAGGAAGGGGTGGATATAAAGCAGATGAGATGGAAAAGTGAATCACTCTGCTTCCCACTCCCTATATAAAATGCTAATACTAAAGGATGCTTTTTCCTGCTGTTGAAGTCTCACTCAAAACAAAGCCATCTTCTTTAACAGGAAAGAAATCTGTATTTTTATGATAACTAAATAAAACTGGTCTTATCTCAGTGATACCTTGTAACTAACCACAAGCCCATTTTCTTTAGCAAAGTGGTCTGCAAGGCAAGGAGTTCAGAGGTTGAAGTTGGAAGAACGTTAAATTATCAGGCTTCAGTGACAAAATCTGAGCATAGAATATGCCTTTCTTGGCATGTAAAATGTGGAAAGCATTTATTAGAAATCGCAAGTTACAGTGTTGACATTTTTTTCCAGAAGTTCCAGCTGCATCTTTTTATGCTCAGGACCTCTTCTGTCACCTCTGAATTCATTGTGTCACAACATTTCACAATGCAGCATTTTAAGCATTCCGGTACTACTTCACACTCTACTCCAAGTCTGAGTTAAGCTGCAATCAGTTTTGTGCCCTGCCAAGGTACTTACCCAAGGTACCAGTGCAGAGACAGTTGTGTGTTCGAGGCTGTGGTTTGGTCTGGTGACTATCAAGGATCTGCTGCACAAGCTGTTCCACCGAGAACCCTGAACTGCTGTTTCCATTGCTGCATGTCCACTTAATGCCGTGAACTGTGAAGAAACAGCAAAACTTCCCATTAGAAACACACCAGAAATCATAAAAAGCCACCCCAAAAGATCAGCAGAAACCCATTCCTGC